CCATGGATTACCCGACGCATCTTCGATATAACCTACAGACAGGTGGTCAGGATTATTACATATAGCACGAAAAGCACCACCCATATAGTCCAGCATAACCAGAACATTCCTTGCAGACCATACTGCGCTGATGTAGTCTTCGCTGAATACGAGTTTGTTCATATACTACCACTCATACCAGACCAGGTCGACAACTGCGACCGTCCCAGCCATCGACAACTGAGGCGTGTTGTAGATATTCCCGTTAATAAATACCATACAGCTTTCTCGAAAGCCATCATTTTTCATTGATACATCGGTCAATAGCGTTATAGGCGGCTGCAACATAAATAATTCAATAAAAGAAGGTTGCCTTTTATGAACGAGATCGAATCGCTGCCATGAGTTATTTATGACTTAGTAAGATCGTTTATCTAGGGTTACGATCAGCCAGCCGCGGATGAGGCGTTACAACAGATAAACATTACCTATTCTCCGCTTCGACTTCGTTGCTGTGAGCTAATTTTGCTCCGTCACCCGTAATCAGCGTTGCGTTACGTCGCCGATATCAATATTCTCGCATTTCGTGGAATATTTAAGCCATACGTCACATTCTCAACGCAAAATATTGACAGTTTGTTCATTACACTCGATAACGACTTTGATCACATGACATGCTGAAGAAGTGAACGAAAGCGTTATTGTTGTCTACATGCCGCGCAGTTTTTTACTGGGGAAGCGGCATAAACCGAAATCACCATTATTTCTGAGCGCGAAAGAATATTGCTTATGAAAGGTGCTCATTAAAACATTTTCGATACGCTTGATGCAGCCATCACGAATCGGCCTTGAACTCGCCAAAGTTAAAATACAACGACAATACGAAAATAATGATGGAAGTTTGCGTTTACGTGAAGTTTTAAACCGTATTCATCAATAAAGTTAGGTATGTTGTGTTGCTATAATTTCAGCATTACCGAGTAAATCGACCATCCTTCAGGACAGTTCCCATTATCTTCCTCGAAAATCGAGGTGATCTCCACAATCAGTAATACGCTGAAACTGCAAACTATCTGGCATCCGCGGAGGTCACCACCGACATAGTTTTTGCCTATTAGTTCTTCATGATGTTCACTTATTACCTGGCAATTGTGGTGCGCCAGCAGCTCGTCACGCCTGGCTGGTGCCCGATTACGGCATAATGCGTAGTCGATGCAGCCCCTCGCAAGTGAAGAAATAGCGCTGAAAGCGTACCACTTCAGTCACTGTGTGTTGAAGCTGAACTTCGGTTAAAGAAACACAGATGTTAAATGCCAGAAATGGACAACTCGGTATAAGTAACAACACGCCGACACGATGATAAAGTTGTTCACAGTGAAAGCAGATGATGCAGGATCGTCGTCGACGATACTCAAACATCATAATAATTCGTACGTTATGACATGCTAACGACGACCAGCTCTCCGAGAGTTTTAATGATACTGCACTTCACCATTAAAACATGTTTCATCACCCGCATTAAAGTCATAAAGTCAGTTCGCTATATGATAGTCGGTTGAATATACATGCCTGGCGTATTGCACGGCATTAAAGACGAAAGCACCGGTTATATTCACGAACAAACGCCTTACGCAATACAAATCAGAGAACGAAGAGCCAGCGCTAGCAGACAAAGTCGTCTTCAGACTGTCGGGCAGGAAAACAACAAACAGATATCTTCAAATTTGTTACCAGCTAACGATAAACAAAAATCGCCAGTGCTCCATCGTCCGCAGTATTGCCACGATTATGGCACACTACGTTAAGAATATCATCAACGTCTGGCGTCAACAGTAAAGAACAGCATTCACAATGACGATGTTCGAAATATGACGTGGTACATAACCGTGCATAATAGAACAAATGCTATCAATATGAAATATTGTTTCAAATACATTTCGATTTGGAAATGTTACATAAAGAAAGCCTTCATTTATTCTTTGTAAAGTCCCAGGTTCGGCTTCAGCGTTTCGATGACGAAGTGCCTCACGGTCGCTCGTTCACTTGTTATTGCCAGGATGGGCCACGAAACAGATGGACGGTGAAACAGTAAGACGACGCAGCCATATTGAGAGCGAAGGATTAGCCTTAACGTTTCTCAACAACAGCATTTCAGATACATCGATTACGTGCGCCTGACGCGAGCGAGCCGCCCCACGCCCGCGTCATCTGCCAGTCATCACGGCGTATCGCAACAGAAAACGTACCAATAATTACTGTACCATGTGAAGCTCTTTAACAGACACCCAGCGTTTATGACTGCGGAGACACCAGATCAAAGTTCACACTTCGCACATAATTCCTGCGATTGAATTCTGAAATAAGAATAAGGTTTTGCTCGTTCTCCTGAGCTGCAGCAATGCCGAAAGGCCCCCGTTCACCGTCGTCCGTACGGCACCAGTAGGGTCGGCTTGTCCTTCCAGGTGCCGGTTGCGGTAGGTCGTGGCGAGCGCAGATGTTTGAAGAGATAGCTCAACAAAGCCGTATTGAGCCGAGCATCTCAATCGATTCAACGCAGTCAGAGCGAACGGCGCCGATGCCATCACTGCTTCTGTCATCATCATCATCATCAGTCATCATCATCATCATCAATGTTGTCCGTTTGGATTATTGACTGGGTGAAGTACACAAACGGCGTATTTCACGTCGTGAACCACAACGAGCGCAGCCAGCGAAGATGACCCCTGAATGACCTTTCGACCAGCAAGCACAGAGTTCGTTCTACGAAGTTCACGACGTCAGTGAGGTTCACTGCATCACGTAAGCCAGTTCGTCCAACATGGCGTATTCATAAGTTCGAGTTTGTCAGTAGTAGCAGGCAGCAAAGATAACTGGCCCGCATCTCGATAAGCAAAGACGTCGATCGCTGGTTGGAGATTTAGCGTATTAAAGGTCGGCATTTCGTGCGCAAAATAGCAATTAATGTAAGAGTGAGCATTTACGCCGCCAGTACATCACGGTAAAATTAGTCGTAATATAGTAATCAAGTACTGAACCCGGATCTTTCGGCGATTTGTTTAGAACCACTGTGTTGTTCATCGCCCCTTCGCTGGTTAGTAGTTCAGTGCCGACGTAAATTGATTATCGTATTTATCTGCGCTTTGAATAATCGAAGCCGTGAGCGGCTGTTCGCGTCATGTTTTCTTTATTGTTTGCAAACTTCGTCAGCAACTTCCATCTGTTCCTGCAGTATCTTTGCTTAACTTCAGTCAGTGAGTGAGCCGCTTTCGTAATATCGGTAATAGAAATGGGCTCGGCCAATACCGTACCCGCGTGAATCGAACCCGGCCGGCGTGACGCAGAGCCAACGTTTAACTACCGCGGCTGGTCCTGCCGTTAATAATCAGTCGCGAATTCAGTTACGCTCAGTAGCCTGGATTCGAAGATTATCTATACGTACTGGATTATCGCGCGAAATCAGTGAGTGAAATATTTGCTTGTTATCGACTCAGCAATATCTGTGCCATATATGCAGTGGTTCAACACCAGCAGGCACAGTAATGATGACATGTCGTTCAAGTCAGCGAGTTTAACTACCGAGTCCGTTAGTTTATCTTCACGATTAAGCATGACATGCACTTAAGACCACATTGCAGTTAATGTTTTGCCCAAGGTGGGGTTCAGGGGTCCCTGCACCCCTTTGAAATTTCTGGATCCGCCTATGGTGATCACGCGGGGGCGAGTGGGCAGATGAGTGGTGATGTGCAGCAATAGGCCGCGGGAGGGTTACTGATGATGGACAGTGAGTGAATGAGTTTAGTTTTACGCCGCTTTTAGCAATATTCCAGCAATATCACGGCGAGGGACACTTGAAATTAGTTTCACACATTGTACCCATGTGGAATCGAACCCGGGTCTTCGGCGTGACAAGCGAACTAGCGAACGCTTTAACTACTAGGCTACGCCGCCGATCCTGACAGGGCCATTTAATATCACTAACAACGATCTCTCTCTCTCTCTCTCTCACAAATTGTATGTATATATATATACACATACACATACACACACACACACACACACATATGAATAAAATGGAACAGATCAGAGCTGAGTCATTCTTAACTTGCTGAATCATTCAAAGTAGGAAGTACTTGTTTCATGACCCGGAAGGTCCGCGTTAGAATATGTCCATGCTTGTCGTAAGAGGCGACTAACGGGATCGGGTAGTTAGGCTCGCTGACTTGGTTGACACATGTCATCGGTTCCCAGTTGCGCAGATCGATGCTCATGTTGATCACTGGATTGTCTGGTCCAGACTCGATTATTTACAGACCGCCGCCATATGGCTGGAATATTGCTGAGTGCAGTGTAAAACTAAACTCACTCACCACTTGTTTCATGCGTGTCATCGTTTTCCAGTTGCGATATACAAGATGTCAATCTTCTAGTCCAGACGCGATTATTTACAGAGCGTAACAAGTTATATTTGGGATTAGTGGCGGCAGGATAGCCTGGTGGTTAAAGCGTTCGCTCGTCACGCCGAAGCCCCGGGTTCGATTCCCCACATGGGTACAACGTGTGAAGCCCATTTCTGGTGTTCCCCGCCGTGATATTGCTACAATATTGCTAAAAGCGGCGAAAACGTAACTCACTCACTCACTAAATTTGGGATTAAACTTTATAATTATAGTAGAGACCGTTGGAAGGTTGCAGTAAGGGTTTGCAAAACAAATAAAGAAAACTAATGTACGAACAACCACTCACAGCTTCGGTGTAAAATGACACAAGGATATAAATACAAGTAATAATCCAATTTACGCCAGCGCAGGATACTGCTATTGTGAGGGGCGGTGGGGTAGCCTAGTGGTTAAAGCGTTCGCTCGTCACGCCGAAGATCCGGGTTCATTTTCACACTTGGGTACTATGTCTGAGGCCCATTTCTGGTGTTCCCCGCCGTGATATTACTAAAAGCGGCGTAAACCTAAACTCACTCACCCATTAGTTGCTATTTTGCACACAATACCATGCTATGCACTTCAGAGAAATCTCCAGAACATATGACTTCAAACGTCTTTGCCTTATCAGGTGCAGACTGGTTATCTTTGCTGCCGTTCGCCTGCACTGTTCTGATACTATGCGCCTGTATCGGACAGAGTGTAAGGTCCCTCATATTTGGACGGAGCCAGGTATGTAACCCCATGATACGGAAGAGTGAACCCAAAATCACCGACGTCATAATGAGAGAGGACCTCATGAAGGAGGACAAGGTCAGCTTCTGTCGCTGCTGGAGGTCAAAGAAGGTCATCAGTAAACCAGGGTCATCGTACTCCTTTTTATCTAATACACTCATTGATCAGTAGTTCACGGCCTTGAATGCACTACCGTTTGTGTTAGTGTTACTTCACCCTAGTCAATAATGTATCCAAAATAACATAGCAGAAAAACAACATTGATGATGATGATGATGATGATGATGATGATGATGATGATGACAGAAGCCTAGTGATGAGCATCCGACGCCGTTCATGGCATCAGCTGCTTGTCTGACCGTTATGAATCAATTAACGGATTAAGTCTCAGCTCAAGTACGGCTGACTGGAGCTATCTCTCTCCAAAGTTATAAACATCTGCACTCTAATACGACCTACCACCTTGAACTTTCGTGGGATATTAAGCCGACCTACTCAGAAAATTGCCCGTACACTGCTAGAATTACGGATTATCTGGTGAATATATTGCGTAAGTCACAAGCATTAGCGAATCGATGGGGGCCTTTCAACGTGATATGACCTTACGAAATAGGGGAACGAATACAAAGGTACTTATTCTTATATTTCCAAATGCAGTCACATGGTCTCCTATGAATGTGCAAGTATGGGGCAGTCCTGAAAGTCTCCACAATTCGCTAAACATATAGGTCTGTTAAACGGGCTTCACTTTCTTATGTTACTCACGCATCAAGCAGGGTGGTGGGGTAGCCTAGTGGTTATAGCGTTGGTTCGTCATGTCGAACACCTGTGTTGGATTCCACACATGGGTACAATGTGTGAAGCCCATTTCTGGTGTCCCCCGCCGTGATATTGCTGGAATATTGCCAAAAGCAGCGTAAAACTGAACTCACTCCCGCATCAAACACACAGGTCGTGGGGTATCTGAAATACTGTTGAAAGCGGCCTTAAAACCAATCCCTTCACTCCTCCATAAGTACGTCGTCGTCTAACCACCACGTGCTCTGTTTTAGTGGCCATACTGCGACGGCGCTCACAAGTATCATAACCGTGAGACAGGCGACAACGTGGGGGCACTCGTCATCAGAAGCAAGGACTGGAAGCCGAAACCTAAGGATAAACACAAAGAAAATAAATGAAACTCTTTAGTGAATGCCAGCTTATTTCCAAATCAAAATGCTGTTTGAAACAATATTTGTGCCAATGAGTGTTTCATGATATACATTTGTTCTAATATACACAATTTAGTAACACCACATCATATTTCAGAACATCGATCGCTCACTTGTTTTGTGAATGCGCATGACAACTTACTGTTGACCGTTACCTGAATGATTGACGTGAAATAGATTCTGCTGAAAAGTGGAAGTATTCTTATAATCATTGTATACATTATTTTACACACATGTTACTCGTCACCGGACAGTCATTTTTTGTAATTTTTGTTTTATGTTAAGCTGAATAATAAATTTGGAAAATCTGTTTGTTTGTTTTCCTGCCGGTAAGTCAGTCTGGTTGACTTTGTCTGCTGCGCTGGCTCTTCGTTACTCTAGTTTGTGTGCATGAAACGTTTATTCAGTAGAATATATTTATATGAACTGCTCGTCTTTTATGCCTGTTATATACATATAGGCATGTATAATTCAACCGACTATCATATATATATATTTGAACTGACTATGACACAATACGAATTGTTTTCAAACATGTTTTAATGGTATTTTGAGGATATTCTCTCTGAAGATATCATTAAAACTCTCGGAGAACAGTTCGTGTTGTAATATTATGATATATCATAACATGCAATGAATTGATATGAGTGACAGGCTGTGTCAGACCGGCAGTACACTACCATCATCTGCTCACTGTAGGCGTTGGGCTTAACATCATCGCATTGTGATCGGCAATATATGTTTGTTGTTTACCCCCCTATATACCGAGTTGTGTTTCTGGCGCACATTTTTATAACATCTGAAAAGTGAGCGTTGCGCGAGAATTTCGTATCTTGTGTTTCTTTGTTGCCTAACCGAAAGTTCAGCTTTGTTCCAACTGTGTGACGAGGTAATTAAGTGACTGAGTGAGAGAGTTGGGTTTTACGCCGCTTTCAGCAATATTCCAGCAATGTCACTGCGGGGAACACCAGAAATGGGCTTCACACATTGTACCCATGTGGGGAATCGAACCCGGGCCTTAGGCGTGACGAGCGAACGCTTTAACCACTGGGCTACCCTACCGCCCCGGAGGTAATTAAGTGAACATCATGAGGAATATGATGATATGCGTAAACTATGTCAGTGAGGTTGACCTCCACCGGATGCCAAGACCGGATTTGTACGGGGGTTTCAGCACGTATTACTGTTAATGGAGAGAATCCGCCTCAGTTTTCGGAGAATATAATGGGAATATCCTCTGGAATTTTTTGGGATGGTCCGATTTACTCAGTGTATAAGTATAGCAACACAATACATACCTAACTTGGTGATGAATACATATGTAGTTTCAAAAACTTCACATGCACCAAACACTAAACGCTTCCATGTTATTTCCATGTGTGTATCCATCGTTTGTATTTTAACTTTTGAGTTCAAAGTTGCATTCGGGCTTGAATAATGCCATCAAACGTATCAGAAATGGACACAATGAACACCTTTCATAAAGCAAATATTCTTTCGCACTCAAAAATAATAATTGATTTCGAGTTTGAAATGCCACTTCCCAAGTAAAAACAGGGCAACATGTAGATTGTAGTAACGCTTCGTTCACTTCTTCAGCATGGTCATGTGATCAAGTCACATGGTTTATCCGGAAGTGTAATGGATGCAGCAAGTTTGTCAATATTTTGCGTTAGGGAATGTGGCGTATGGCAAATATTCCACGAAATACGAGTGTAATTATCAGCTGACGGGAAGAACAACGCAGCACGCAGATCTTGGTTACACAGGTGACCGAGGTAGGTTAGCTCTGTAACAGGTGCCAGAAGTGTCAGAAGCGGAATAAGGTCATGTTTATCTGTTTATGAACGCCTCATCCGTAACAACGGTCATGGCCTAGGTAATAAACGGTCTTACTTTAAGTCACTAAACTCTTCTCATGGCCTTTGACCATGATCTCGTTCAGTCATAAGGCTAATATACTTGTGGGTATTTATGTTGCGAAAATACACATACCATATATATATATATATATTATTGATGTATCAATGAAAAATGTTATGAAAAATCTTTCGAAACATATGGGAGTGTTTATTACAAGCAGGGATAATCTACAACACGCCTTATAGTCTCCCTGTTACATGCGATGAAACAGGACAGGTCACGGTCGCAGTTGTCGACCTGGTCTGAGGTTATATAGGTGGTAGTTCATATGAATAAACTCGTATTCCAGCCAAGGCCTACATCAAGCACACCTTGGTATAGTGCAAAGTCGTCTAGTTATATGCTGGACTATATAGGTGGGTGCTTTCATTGCTATATAGAACAATAATACAACCACCTGTCGTAGTATATAGGTTATATCAGAGGTCATCAGGTAAATCCATGGTCTCTGCTGTGGCTTGGAAAGATGAAGTCCATAAACTGACATACAATTTCTAAACATTTTGTCCCCTGAACTAACTAGGTGATGTGGCTATGCAATCTCTGGATGGTAGTTTGGGATGGTATAGTACATAAAGTTTGTTCATAGGGGGGGACACCAGGAATTGGCTTCACACATTGTATCATATGGGGAATTGAACCCAGGTCTTCGGCATGACAAGTGAATGCTTTAAGTTTAACCACTAGGCTACCCCTTTCTTTCTGTTGAGCTTGTGTTTTTATTACCCACGTGGTCAACGTATGGGTAGTTGCATACTGATCTCGTACGTCACATGAGTGTCGTATCGCGTTGACCTGTGTCATAACGACTTGACCTAAGATTCTAACGATTTGATTGGATAACCGATGACCTCTCAATTAGGTCACATTCTGACGTAACTATTTTTTCATTCATAACAGACACGTGAATTCATTCATTCTACAACTTAAATGCATTGTGTGAATGTAACATTGCGAACGTTGCCTTGTCGCTGTTTAATTGTGAGTGGAACTGAGACATTATATCCGTCGAAAAACATAGCGCAACGTTTCCACCAGTGATGTTAGCCGAATGAAGCAACTGCAAACCAAGAAACGAGGTGCTACGGAGTAGTTTACTGTAGGAGGCTGTAACGAGGCTGATGACAACTGACATGCATCGTGGACGTCAGTTACCAAGGCAGTGACGTCATTAAAGTGTGATGTCATGCAAATATTGTACTACAGTACAAAACTCTTCCGCAACCTCTTTATGAAACCGGTTTCGGTTTGAAACCAAAATATGAACAAAAATACGCTATTTTGTCAATTTAATGCATGTAAGACGTGGGAAATAAATAAAATACCACACGAGGTCTCATTACATACGAATTATACGAAACTCGTGACCTTCCTATGTTATCTGACCTCGCTATCGCTACCATAGGAAGGACATGAGTTTCGTATAATTCGTATGTAATGAGACCTTGTGTAGTATTCTCTATGTATCAGCCATGGTAAGCATGGTAGATCAATTACATGAGGTATGAATGATACTGCCACAAGTATGTTTGACTTTGCAATAATGCTGTAGGTAAACATAATTCTTGTCCTTACATATTTCCATATGTCCTGCTCCATGCTGATCTCGACATCCCACAAACTGTGTTGAACTGGTGAGATTTTTTAAGAATTAATGCAGGACGCCCTGTGAAGCTAAGCCTGCTCCAGCAAGACGATACAATTCAGTGATTACAGGTATAAAGAGAATACTACACGAGGTCTCATTACATACGAATTGCGTTTACGTTTTTCGACGGATATAATGTCTCAGTTCGACTCACAATTAAACAGCGACACGGCAACGTTCGCGATGTTTACATTCCCACAATGCATTTAAGTTGTAGAATGAATGAATTCACGTGTTTGTTATGAATGAAAAAATAGTTACGTCAGAATGTGACCTAATTGAGAGGTCATCGGTTATCCAATCAAGTCGTTAGAATCTCAGGTCAAGTCGTTACGACACAGGTCAACGCGATACGACACTCGTGTGACGTACGAGATTAGTATGCAACTACCCATACGTTGACCACGTGGGTAATATTAGGTGATCTAGGCTCTGTCCTTATTAGGTGAATTGGGAGAGAGTGAAGCAGAAAAATTAGGTGATCTGGGTATGTTCCCATTTCGTACAGCTGGGGTGCAGTACATGTTCCTTTTATGGCACGGTGGTCTATGGGGATGATTTACAGGATCTGTAGAGCATGTGTTTTAATCCCAGATAGTAGCTGATTATGATGCAGGCTCTGTCAATACCATTCAGCAAAGTTGTCAACATCTACCAATAGCATCATCTGAGGCTTTCATCCCACAGAGATGAAAACATGTCTTTACTTCATATATGTTTGCAAACAGACCATAGGAGCCATTTGGGTGAGTGAGTGAGTTTAGTTTTACGCCACTTTTAGCAATCTTACAGTTATATCATGGCAGGGAACACAAGAAATGGGCTTCACACATTATACCCATGTGGGGAATCGAACCTGGGCCTTCGGCATGACGAGCAAATGCTTTGACCACTAGTCTACCCCATCGCCCCAGGAGCCATTTGGGTAATGTTTCCAGTTTGTAACTGGCTTGAAGTCTCAAATGGTGGTATAGATAATACTGTGTTGCCTTGGCAACGTGGCATCTTGCTCATAATATCAGCCCCTGCTTGTCTGGTCAAGGCTTGATTAAAAATTCCAGTACTTGTTATAGAATAATCGAGGAATGCAGACTAAGTGATTTAACAATAGTAGCTCACTTTCCAAAAATATTTCGTTTAGATCCCCATGGTTTGTTTCAATTTGTTTTTGAACCGACATTCTGATCTTGAATGTTTTAGGAACGTAGGTCAAAGTTTATTATACACAATAAACTGTGCATGTACATTTATGGCAAAGCCGCAATAACTCGGTGCGCCAATGTTTGTGCGTCACAGTCATGTTATTCATGTAATTTCAGAAACTATGCTGTTATCGACCGGGACCAATGTTCAACATTGTGCTAACAAACCTGACAATGATGAGGACCAGAGCCAGGTCACCGTGACATCCTTCACAATGCAGGTCGCTGGACATGTATATGGCAAGAAAGACAAAAAGCAAGGTACACCTGGTAATGATGCGCCCCTCCTGTATACACCCAAGTGGCCCCTGTGGGAACCTTGGCTAGGATAGCTCCCCACTGCCTCTAACCCTGGCTTGCTTGACACGTCATCGGTTCCCAATTGTGCAGGTCGATGATCATGCTGTTGATTCCTGGATTGTCTGGTCCAGACTCAATTATTTACAGACCGCCGCCATATAGCTGGAATATTGCTGAGTCCGGCGTAAAACTAAACTCACTCACAAAATTTGAAGCTAAAGTGTCTGTAAGAGGCGAAAACATAATACTGTCTTCAACACAGTCTTCAAAACAGCTTATATTTAAAGTGTCTGAAGTATGGGGTGAGGCATACGCCCGGCACAAATTCCCAAACCCCCACCTGTCATCCACACCCTCTTCTCTGGACCTTTGTAAATGGCACACTTGGAATGGCATGTGCAATTAAGAAAGCTATAAAACTCATTGCTAACCATGTTCACAGATCTGGTAAACTGAAAAGACTTTAAGATCAGTGGTAATTTTAGATTTGGTCTGGTCATGGGAAACAAGAAATCTCTATTGATAGTGATTCTTTCATCTGATCTATTTTGGTGATTCATCGGGTTGCTGTTATTTTGTTATTACCCCACAAGAAAGTTTGTAAGTAAACAGTTTGTAAGAACTTCATCAAGCTTTGATTATACGTATGGTATGTAGTGATCACAGCACAGCAACCTTATGGTCAAGTTGATATGTTGTACAGGGAGCAGTATTGACAGTTAGTGATTAGACATGGTATTAAAGTACTGTTGGAAATAGAAAAAAACTGTTTTTAGGCTGTCACTCTGTATCCCTAAAATTTACACATTTGCAAATAGCATATGTCGAAATAACCCACACCGGCCAAACTGGGCGTTCAGTGGGATGCATAATAGGATATCCAGAAAAGCATGTTTACTCGTAAAATCGGGCAAAACTTAGAAAAATACGAATGGCTGCTGAAAACAATAGATCAGACTATAGATGGCAATTAGGTCACTCAGCCAGGTATGGCCACGGACCATCGACTCACCTGGCATGAAATGCATGTGCTGCATACAGGCACAAGGGGTCATCTCAAAGATATTTTATGCTTTTTTTATGTGTGTTGAATATGTTTCATCTATTGATTAACATCTTACGTGTCTTTCTTTCATAAAGTTTATGTTGTGATACGTAAAAGAGTATGATACCCATAGAAAAGCTTATATCAGCCATCGTATGAAATGTCTCAAAATATGTAGGTGGCATGACCACCAGAAGATCGACAGGATTGGATATTATTTGTAAATTGTTATGACATGCCGTTTTCTTCCCCAGTTTAATTCGCCTAAAGGATTATTTTATTGTAGCTGATATCTCTGTTCCCCAGCCCGACCTCAACCACCGTCTGCGACACCCGCCCTGGTTTTGCTTTTGAGACGACCCCTCCTAGCTGTTTCTTTTTTCAGTGATAGTGAGACTCCATGGCAGCTACATCCTTAATAGTTTCAGTGTTGAAGTTATTATTTTTTATGTCAGCTATCTTGTATAATGAAGCTAAGTTTAATTACAAAATGGGTGTTTAAAAAGTGTCCTTTGTAATACAATATCATCGCACACTAATTTGAATAAAGCCATGGTCTGTTCCAAATAAGTCGCTTTGGACTTAGAAAAGAACACATTGCTCATTTCTGCACTAATCTCTCCTCAGTAAAGTCCTTTTTCTACGTTTCCTATCTCCTTACCACTGAGACTGTACTTAGGCTGAGCTTAGTTTAACAGATATTTCACACTTTCATATATCAACTACATAAATTGTAGATATTAATGCGAAAAAACAGGGTTTTTTCTATTTCCGACAGTACTTTAATATAATCCTGCCAAGACTGAAAAATCAAGCATCTACTTTGTACGAGAATACTCCAGTGTATACAATTTACCCTCTATCATGCTTGTGGTGAATACTAATTGTTCACGCTTGTGACCACGAATTATTCATGAAGTGAATATTAATTATTCACCTAGTGAATACTAATTTCTTATATTGTGACTTTCAAGTATCAACATTATGTTAATGAATATTCTATGTATAATTCTGTGAAATGGTATAGAAAGAGGATATGGTGTAAAAAGAGTTACCATGGTTACCCATGCTTGTTGATGTGGATTTCTTAGCCCTGAAACTCAGTGAAATATAGTGACAAATGAAATTGTGTCAGCCCACCCTAAATTTTTGACAGATTAGTGAGTAGTTTTTGTACGCTTTTAGCAATATTCCAGCAACATCATTGTAGGGGACACAAGAACTGGGCTTCGATACATTGTGCCCATGCTTGAAATTGAACTCAGGTCTATGGCGTGCCAAAAACGTTCCCTAACCTCTCGGCTACCCTCTAGTTCTTTAACAAGTGAACTGACTAGACCCCACTGTGCCTGTCCCACAACACTATTTACACCTGTTATGACACTGTACGTGCTATTTACAAATACTCATAAATGTCAGTGCTTGGTGATAAACGAAGAGATCGCACTTAAATATCCCTGCCGTCTGATATACACTCAAATGAAATGTGTACTGCTGTTATTTTATCTGGTATAATGTTAAAAAGTAAGGTTTATATGTCGTAATTATACAGGAAGTCTGTGAATGATTGAGTTAGATTGGTCTTCAGCAACCTATTCTCGTTGTAAGAGGCGAATAATGTTTATGTGTATATCCACGTCTCCCAGTTGTGTCATTCATAATGTCAGTCACTGGATTATCTGATAATGACTCCATACCAGTGTTTCCGTTATCCGGTATATACTGCACTTTGACCGGTACAAAGTTAGGCTGAAGGTCATCATATCAGGCAAATTTTAAAAACAATTTTCTAATCACCTATGTCAATTTCATTTCTCCTCAAGAAAGATTACTTTGTCAACTAAAAAAATAGCATTTTGGAAAACCCCTGGCTAAAAATAGTGGCATTGACGCATTGCAATGCCCTCTACATTTCTGATTGGTTGTTAGGGTGCAAGGTCTTGTGCACAATGAAAAGCGTGATCACTTGACCGGTAAAAAATTGCAAATGACCGGTAATTGAAATGCTAGCCAATCACGATGTCCAGCTGTGGAAACACTGCATATGCTATAGCTCTCAGTTATATAAGGGACCGTTCATAACTTCACCTCTTTGTTGTAACTTCACCTCTTTGTTGTGTAGGGACACTAACTGTACCTCAATGAGGGACATCTCCCAATGTGTTGTGTAGGAACCTCACTAACTTCACCTCTTTGTTGTTAAAGTAGGCTACAAATCACACTGTACCTCAATGAAGCGCCTCCCGTGGCGTGTTGTGGAATAGGAACCTCAGAACCAAACTTCAGTCACCTCTTCTTTGTTGTGTAGGGACACTGTACCTCAATGGACGATCCCAGTGTGTGTAGGAACCTCACTAACTTCACCTCTTTGTTGTGTAGGGACACTGTACCTCAATGACGCCTCCCAGTGTTGTATAGAACCTCACTAACTTCACCTCTTTGTTGTGTAGGGACACTGTACCTCAATGATGTCTCCCAGTGTTGTGCAGGAACCTCACTAACTTCACCTCTTTTGTTGTGTAGGGACTACCTGTACCTCAATGACGCCTCCCAGTGCTGTGTAGGAACCTCACTAACTTCACCTCTTTGTTGTGTGTGGGACACTGTACCTCAATGACGCCTCCCAGTGTTGTGTAGGAACCTCACTAACTTCACCTCTTTGTTGTGTTGGGACACTGTACCTCAATGACGTCTCTCCCAGTGTTGTGTAGGAACCTCACTAACTTCACCTCTTTGCTGTAGGGACACTGTACCCCTCAATGACGCCTCCCAGTGCTTGTGTGTAGGAACCCTCACTAACTTCACCTCTTTGTTGTGTAGGGACGCTGTACCTCAATGACGCCTCCCAGTGTTGTGTAGGAACCTCACTAACTTCACCTCTTTGTTGTGTAGGGACACTGTACCCTCAATGACGCTCCCAGTGTTGTGTAGGAACCTCACTAACTTCACCTCTTTGTTGTGTAGGGACACTGTACCTCAATGACGCGTCTCCCAGTGTTGTGTAGGAACCTCACCAACTTCACCTCTTTGTTGTGTAGGGACACTGTACCTCAATGACGTCTCCCAGTGTTGTGTAGGAACCTCACTAACTTCACCTCTTTGTTGTGTAGGGACACTGTACCTCAATGACGTCTCCCAGTGTTGTGTAGGAACCTCACTAACTTCACCTCTTTGTTGTGTAGGGACACTGTACCTCAATGACGTCTCCCAGTGTTGTGTAGGAACCTCACTAACTTCACCTCTTTGTTGTGTAGGGACACTGTACCTCAATGACGTCTCCCAGTGTTGTGTAGGAACCTCACTAACTTCACCTCTTTGTTGTGTAGGGACACTGTACCTCAATGACGTCTCCCAGTGTTGTGTAGGAACCTCACTAACTTCACCTCTTTGTTGTGTAGGGACACTGTACCTCAATGACGTCTCCCAGTGTTGTATAGGAACCTCACTAACTTCACCATCTTTGTTGTGTAGGGACACTGTACCTCAATGACGTCTCCCAGTGTTGTGTAGGAACCTCACTAACTTCACCTCTTTGTTGTGTAGGGACACTGTACCTCAATGACGTCTCCCAGTGTTGTGTAGGAACCTCACTAACTTCACCTCTTTGTTGTGTAGGGACACTGTACCTCAATGACGTCTCCCAGTGTTGTATATAGGGAACCTCACTAACTTCACCTCTTTGTTGTGTAGGGACACTGTACCTCAATGACGCCTCCCCAGTGTTGTGTAGGAACCTCACTAACTTCACCTCTTTGTTGTGTAGGGACACTGTACCTCAATGACGTCTTCCAGTGTTGTGTAGGAACCTCACTAACTTCACCTCTTTGTTGTGTAGGGACACTGTACCTCAATGACGTCTCCCAGTGTTGTATAGGAACCTCACTAACTTCACCTCTTTGTTGTGTAGGGACACTGTACCTCAATGACGTCTCCCAGTGTTGTGTAGGAACCTCACTAACTTCACCTCTTTGTTGTGTAGGGACACTGTACCTCAATGACGTCTCCCAGTGTTGTGTAGGAACCTCACTAACTTCACCTCTTTTGTTGTGTAGGGACACTGTACCTCAATGACGCCTCCCAGTGTTGTGTAGGAACCTCACTAACTTCACCTCTTTTGTTGTGTAGGGACACTGTACCTCAATGACGTCTCCCAGTGTGTGTAGGAACCTCCTCACTAACTTCACCTCTCTTGTTGTGTAGGCCACTCTGTACCTCAATGACTTCCAGTCTTCCAGTGTGTAGGAACCTCACTAACTTCACCTCTTTGTTGTGTTGGGACACTGTACCTCAATGACGTCTCCCAGTGTTGTGTAGGAACCTCACTAACTTCACCTCTTTGTTGTGTAGGGACACTGTACCTCAATGACGTCTCCCAGTGTTGTGTAGGAACCTCACTAACTTCACCTCTTTGTTGTGTAGGGACACTGTACCTCAATGACGTCTCCCAGTGTTGTGTAGGAACCTCACTAACTTCACCATCTTTGTTGTGTAGGGATGCTGCACCTGGGGAGGGGGATGATTCTGAAGGCGCTGCAGGATCCCCCTCGGGGAACAAGGGAGCTGCAGTTCTACCAACAAGTTTTCTCCCCCACGAATACCGACGAGGTCACCATAGCTCTCAGAAGGTTCATGCCAGCCTACCATGGCACAATGGAATTTGATGGAGGTAACTACCAATCTTGTGTAGAGCTAGTGAGTGAGTTTAGATTTAACATCACGTCAGCATTGTTCCAACTGATATAGTGACCTAAATATTGTTGTTTCAGTAGGGTTTCTGAAGCTGGAGAATATTGTAGAACACTACAAACAGCCATGTATAGCTGATGTAAAGATGGGGAAGGTGACGTCCGACCCCCACGCCACACCGGAGAAGGCAGCGTACGAGAAGTCCAAGTGTCCTAGTGCTGCGGTACTTGGCTTCCAGATCTCAGGAATGTTGGTCAGTAGAAGTACTGATGAAATATATTGGTCAGATGATTAGACTGACGAACGACACAAATGTTGTTTAGGTCACCACTTCGGGCCTCTTGACTTGTTAAGCTGACACACTTTTGAAATTCAAAATGGTGGCAAACCAGCCTCAGTCACTGTTAGTAAATCGATGCTCATACTATTCATCACTGGTTTCTGGTCAATCTATGATACTGTCAGTTTTGTATATAATATTATTTTGTAGATAATATCAACAATGTTCATGATTGCTTGATTTATTCCAGGGTCGGTGGGGTAGTCTAGTGGTTAAAGTGTTTGCTCTAACTCAAAGACCCGGGTTCGATTCCCCATGTGGGTACAATGTGTGAAGCCAATTTCTGGTGTCCCCTGCCATGATCTTGCTGGAATATTGCTAAAAGTTGTGTAAAACTAAACACACTCACTCATTTATTCCAGATATATCAGCCTGACACTGGTCAGTATGAGAGAGTGGACAAAGTAGCTGGACACAAACTGACCACAGATAACATGATCAGTGAAGGTGAGTGGAAGGCTGGTCATGTTTGGAGTCATTTTTGGTCAGGAGATATCTGACAGTTGTCTTGTAAAAACATCCACCAGGGCTCCAGATAATTTTTCAACATCAGGAGTACGTGTACTCCTTATTTTTTCAATATAGGAGTACTGGAAAAACTTGAAAGTACATTTAGAGTACTGAATGGAAATTAGTAATCAGTATTCTTGTGTTTGTTTGGTATATGCACCACAACATTGCTACTCTTGTGTAAACAGGTCAATAAACAATAAAACAATACTTTTTCATAAAAATACTTCTGTAAATGATTCGTACACCATTGCTGTGGTACGTATCTGCTACGTTTTCAAAATTATTTCCTACCGTATCGTGCATTTTTTTTATCCGTTCATACGTCAATACGGCCCTCATCTGGAGCCCTGATCCACTATTTGGTCATGAATGTGGTATAGAAATTACATAACCACAGAATCAAATGTTTTTAGACTAAAGTACTGTCAGAAATGCTAGAAAAATGCTTTTTGACTTATATTTAAAATTGAGAGGTTTACAGTTCTTAAATAACAAATATCACTTCAAGAAACATCTACCTAATGTAGACCGAGGGAATAAATTTTGAGACATGCTCTAAAATGTGTTTTTACTGATGAAAATACCCAAAACTTAGAAAAATAAGGGGTAGTTGGACGCTATTTG